CAGTCCTAAATTATATATCACTTGCTTTCTGCTTCTGATACCTCACATAAAAGATGAGTAATTTAAAGTAGATTAAGTTGGAGAGACAAAAAATAAAAATGGAAGATTCTATTTTACTAATAGTCTTTTCATTACTATAATTGCAGTGTTCACTCTTATCGTTATCTACGAAGAAGACTAAATGCGCTAGTCATATAAAGGTTATACAATTATTCTGGTTTTAAGAAGAGTACAGACTGACCCAAAAATCTGTGGCAAAATAAAGGCAAAATGCCTTTAGGCTGGCATGCAACTCCCTTCCCTTTCATTAAGTAAACCAAATCATCCTTCACACGGCACAGCAGCTAAGGAGAACTTTATCATCAGGTTGTCTGGTTTGGTGAAAACATCCATGTCAAGGTCAAACACTGATTATGAGACTCTAATTGACAAGATGAGATGCATATATAGTATCCCAGATCCTCTCCTGAGGTGATCTTGGGCATTTTGTGAATTATCATATCAATTTTTGTGAACTCCATACAGTTAGTTAAACTGCCTGCACTGAAATTAATAACATATTGTTTATCTTATATAAATACTGAAGATTTCAACTTTTCCAATCTATATGAAATTTTTTAATAATTAATGAACACCACATGAAAACAAATTCAGGTTTTTATCCCAGCTCAGTTTCCTGTATCCTAATTCACTGTATCAGTTATTAGCTTCACTAATGCTGGGACTCAGGCTTCCAAAAATAATTCTGTTCTTAGAACAGAACAGGGTCCAGTTTCCAGAATTAGAGAAGTTGAGTAGTCACAAAAGTCTCAGCACTATCTGAGTATTGTAGCAGGGCTCTTTCAATTCCTCTGCAGACCAGTAATCAGAACAAAAAAATTGTTTCTTTTCTCCCATTTCCTGTTTCATGAAGACAATATTTGTACTGAAGAACTACATTGACCCATAATTCACAAAGTTTTTCAGCCTCCCAGTCATAATGCAATTCGTCAAAATAAACTTTTGTTGTAATTGTGGACTTCTGTTACTTACCTTCTGTTCATGGACATGCTTGATGCAAATATTCTTTTATGAACTATAAACTAGCATAGCTGTTCTCAGATCAGTGCCACAATTCTTCCACATGTGTGTGCTTCAGCCCCTCACTTCCTTTGGGATGATGTTTCTTTTGCTGAAGGGACTTTTTGAAAGACTAAGTAAGCATGAATTTTGAAGGACTAAGCAAATTCTGTGTCCTCTTACTAACATCCCTTGGCTTTCCTAGCAGATTAGTTTTCTGTCCTCTTACTAACATCCCTTGGCTTTCCTAGCAGATTAGTTTTCTATCAGGTTCAACGAGGCTCTCTTGGTTTTCTATTTGAAATCACATTAACCTTTCTTCGTATTTTTATCTTGTGAAATGTTTTATGCAATATTGAGTTCTAACATGAAGCCACCACTGAGGGAGAAATAAAACCTAAATCATAAAACTCTTCTGATATCCATCTCAGGAGAAGCCTTTTACCAAAAGACAAACATCACTTGAAGTGCCAGTTTTTCTGGTGAGTTCACATTAAATCTCACAGAAATCAGTTTGCTGAATGGGTCTTCACACCTCTGAAAGTGAAGCATATGTTTGATTTTGTCTTTGGCTTCTTTCCACTGTAATATTTTCACAGTAATTATGTGTATATTTTTCCATCTGTTCCCAAATGATACTCTTTAGAAGGAAGGGAATAAACAAGGTGCAACACTTTCTTTTAACTAAGAAGAAACTAATGACTGTCCATATTCAAACTGCATTAGTTCAGCTGTTGTTAACCGCAATATGTGCTCAAACATCATCCATCTATCTCCCTTTTCTGTTTGTTGTACAGGAAGCTAATCAGAAAAATGAAGGAAAATAATTATAAGTCAAGTCTAATTCCTCTGTAGAGTACCTACTGATTAAAAAATTTGCTCTGTTTCCTTTATTTCTCTCTGTTCTAAACATTTTGATCTGTTTCACCAACAAAGTTTCCCCTTTACAGTGAACTTTCACCATTTTGCCATTCATTATTGCAGGGAAAGTGTCACAGCCAAGGTAGCTTTACAATCACTGGGTGGTGGAGGAGCACATTTTAAAACTTTTTATCACCTTGAAAACTTACTGAGGACAGATTTCAACCATTTCACTTGAAAATGAATTGCAAGCCTAGAGAGAGCATGAAAATTTGTTCTTCCCTGAAGTAGGCAAATAGCGCAGCAGTTCTCTGAAACACTGACAGGCACAACCAATTCTGCATGCTGAGCTCCCGGGAATCACAGGTGAGTGTATCCTAAGCCTTTCCTTAGTTTGTGGGAGAAACATTAGAAACATGAGACATACCTGTAGCAGCTGCATCCATTGAGATGTAGTATTGTTCTATGGACCCTCAAAGAGGTTTTGAGGGAAGCCATTCCAGGGACTTGCTTGCCAAAGCATGCCCTTCCAGCACACATGCTCAGGATGTAAAAACACCGACACAAAAGAGAAAGGTAATGAAATTGGTGCTATTCTTGCAGCACTAGACTACCACCTGATGGTGGGTTTTTTTCTTTATCTCATCAGTGAATAAAACTTGAGTAACTTGCACACTGGATTGTCATGAGAACACTTGTCTTACGAAGCGTTAAAGCTGATCTGGAGCCAGCTTGGCATCTTGCCACAGGTGCTACAGAGGAAGAGTAGGTTTAACTGAATTCTCTCTAGTCATTGCAATATTTCCTTGGGGCCCAAATGGAAAATGCACATTAGTCCCAAGATCACCAATTAGCTTTTGTTCCAACTGAACATAATGATACAGAATCACATTTCACAACTTGACTGTTCCCTTTCTGTATACTATAGAACAGTAAAAGAGAAACAGTGCTGAAAACTTCAGTTTCTGCAAGACCTACCCGTTAGTCTGAAAGACATACCAGTTTGGTCCTTATCTAGAACTCCCATCATTAAAGCCATTTTGTTTGTATTTTTGCAATTTAACTTATTTCCTGAGGTTAAGTAGTGATTTTTGGGCTTCAGTTACAAACAATCCCTAGATTTTTCAAGGGACATATAGTGAGGGCAACTTATGTCAAAGTTCACCAGGTACCACATCTTGGAACTAAATTAAATATCAAGGTGTGAATCAAACTTCAGGACAAGTCCTTTTTCTGTCATTACTGACAAAGAAAACATCCGCAGTGTTATTCTACATGATCCTGTTTTCATGAATGATGTCACCTGAAGGTTCATGTGTTCCATGTTAGATTACCTAGAGTTGCCTATAGTTCTGAATCAGGTTCCATATTTTTCCTCCTGGTTGGCATGTAGAGAGTGCATGTCAAGTGTCCAATTGGCTGGGAGATTTTATGTACCACTGGTGGGATTTGGATCCTTTTCTGCTCTGGCCCTTCTAAATCCTTCCATTGTTTTTCTTTTTTTTTTTCCTAGGCAATCTGCCCTTAGCAGGTTTGAGGACATGATGGCAATGTGCTTTGTCAATAGTTCATTAAAAGTGAACGTAGAGTGAACTGACACTTTGTAAAGTAGCAAGCCTGCCAGAGGACTAAAGAACATAATTAAAAAATCCAAGAAATCACTGGACCAATACGGTCGTTTTCCTGGATTCATCCCTCTAACAGTGGTAAGTGTTCTGAGAAGTTCTCATGTATTAAGCTAGAAAATAAGAGTCACAGGATTGAAGTGTGTCCACTACGCAACACCTAATATTTCCTGACATACTGGAAGTCTTTGTGGTTGCGTACTTAGGCCTTTCCACAGAAGACTAGTTTCATTCTGATACATTTATAGATGCATATGAGAATCAGTTGTTTAGCTTTGAACCTACACAGCATTATTGTCAACAAGCTGGGCGCATTGTGCACACCTTATGAAAAATGAGGTTTCATGTTCACTTAAACAAATCTGTCCCAAAACCATAATTCACTCTAATATTACAGAATTGTCTGCATCAGAAAGTGAGAAAGAGAACAAAAGGCCTTACTTCTGCAGGTCCTGAAACGAAGTGTCTTAACAGGGAATACAGTAGTGTCCTGCTGTTTACTCTGTGAATAAAATTGAGGAATTGAGACCTGAAGAAGAGGAAACATCTCAAGAACCATCCCCCACATATTCCTTCTCTGCCGAGAAGAGCAACAAGAATAAAGGCTGAAGGGAATGAAGCTGTACAAGATACAGACAGACAGAAGGACAGATTTAATTTGATTTACCGCTCCTCCAATGAGAAATAACAGATACATACAGCAAGACTAGTACACTCGGTGAAGACTATAAGTAATCAGATTTAAATGCTGTTTTCTACTTTAATAACTTCATTTTGTGCTCAAAATATTTAAAGGTGAGGCAAGCAGAGGACTCTGTACTCAGACTGTACACAAAAAGATAGGTGCAATGCTTCTCAGCTCCAGGACACTAGCACAGACAAGTGACACTGTTTGTTTGATCACTCAAGGCATTTGCATATGTGAAGAGACTTTTCCTGTTCTGTGCATTGAATTCACCCAGCCCAGAAAAATGTGTATATGTGTCAAGTAGGAAAGTTGTTGAGACTGGTGACATTGGTTTGTTACCCATCTACAGGAAATGAGGGTGGCTAGTGCAAAACTGGGAACAGCTGTTTTGAAGGCCAAAACACTGGGCTTATACTCCTGTGCAGGGCGGTGATCCAAAGCAATTAGCAGAAAACAGTGGCATGGCTTTAAGCAAAGGTACCTGATCTATACCTGAGGCATAAGGAAAACTCATATATTCATCTAGTTTTCAGGTGGTGCCCTGTACAAACATCTATATGAAAAATGTGTGAGAGAAATGAGTGAAAATTCTGTGAATGAAGTCATGAAAAGTCCTTCTATTCTGACCTTTTTGTCTGTCTGTAGCTGCTTGTCGTCTCCCCACTGTGTTACAGAAGTAACACCATATGGTAAGGGAAATGAGTAAGATGTAGGCGGGATTTTTGCACTCTGTAACATGAGTTCAGAAGAACTCAATAACGAAATCATACTCTCAAAGCGTGCAAAAATATACCACTAGGGAAAATTCATAGTTTCTGCCTTTTTTGTGCTCTGTTACTGTAACGGCCACAGGGAAAGAGGTTTTCAAGGAGAAGGTAAGTTTACTTTTGTCTTTGTCTATTTTTCTTTTCTATTTTCTTTTCTATTTTTCTTTCCCTCCAAAGCTAGGCAAAGAAATACTTAACTTTGTTATTTCTGATGTTAAAATAACTGTCAGGTGTGAACAGACACTGCCTGCAAATGCATGCTTTTGTCTGATGAATGTCTTAGCCAATACTTTGATGGTGTATTTTTTTCTACAGTCTGAAAATAATAGTACAAATATATTTTAAAATTAGCAGTTCCCAGTGTTACTGGCCTTATCCATATAGAAGCATTTTTCTTATGTTAAGACCTGCATTACAGTGTAGAAGAATGCCTAGGTCACTTTTTCTTGAAAACAGTCAGACTGGAAATGTTTGGATTTTAGAACTTTATATCAATAGAGAAAATTACTATGCAGAGTGAGTCCCTTTTAGGAGTACTGTATTTTGGCAAGAGCAGAATGGGAACATGACAGTGTCCTTTCTCCTTTACAATTTTAATAGTGAAGTAGAAGATTTCACATACACACACTTCTCTGAAAATCTCACAGGCATGTAGGCATAATTTTACCTTCATAGCACAACCAGCATGTAAGCAATAATTCCATTTTATATATTCCCACTGACAAAAATAGTTTTCGAATTCTTTCAGAGGCAAAGCTGGGAAATAAATCTCAGAGGTTTAGTCTTAATTACTATGCCCAACACAGATTTTCCCTTAAAAAAAAAAGTAGTCATATAAAAAGAAGTGTAAGTTTTGCAGGTTTTTTTAGTTACAAACCTTCCTTTTCATTAATTACAAAAATCATAGCAGTATCAAAACATTATTAAATCCATGGTTATATATTACTCATAATCAAAAGGCTATTGCACAAGTTTTTATCCTTATCTAACTAATCAACTAATCAACTTGGATGAGAATAGCCACTGCAGTAGGATTTCAGCTTCTGAATTCCTAACATGACCTGTGGACATGTGTCAGAATTCAAGCTTCTGTGAGAAGTAACTGAGAGTGACTTGTGCTGTAGCATAGAATCTAGCAGTAGCCGATTTCCATAGAAACTTTACAAGCTACAGTAAGGAAGGAAACAACTTCACACAGAAATACTCTGTTTCCTTAAGATTTTGATCAATAATCTGCACAGGAATTATTTGAGATGTGAAAGAAAGTTTGAAACACCTGTGGGGAAAACAATACAATTCCTGGTTCCTCTATCGCACCTGTTTTTCTAAAGAGAAAAAGCACTTGATATTTGCACAGGTATAAGAAAGAGAAGAAAAAGGCATTTTCAATAAAAAATTTGCAGTTATCAGTTGAGGAAATAATAGTTGCAGCATTTCTGTTTAGTACTTAAATATGGATTCCAGATGATGTAAAAAAGAAAAGGAATTAATCATCTTGGATTTACCTGACCCAAGTGGATAGCTCAGAGTTAGAGAGATTCCTCTGGGCAGGTTGCCCTGGACTATATTTTCAGCGAATGGCAGAAAATAAATATAGTGCAACCTTCATTTCTCTTGTCCTAGACTAGGTTGAATAAACCATGTCTTAAGTAGCTGGTTTTTTTCAGACAATGTTAAGGCCACATGGGATTACTGGTTCTCCTGTGAGCATATCTATACAGCTTTTGGGTAAGTTTAGGAAAGATGAACTCCACCCCATTCCACCTGACAGCATCTTCAGAGTTAGGTTAAAAGCTTAAAATATTTTAATTTCCTTTTATTCATTTCCAATAGCAAGCATGTTATTTACAATCCATAAAAAATTATCTGATCCTTTATGTCCAAGAGTCAAGAGAAATTTATGTATTTTTTATTTAAGAATTACTGAATAAAAGTAGAAATTCTCTTTTGCTCAAGACCCAAAGGTGTGATCCTGTCCTCCCATATTAATAATATTGTCTCCCACAAAGGATTGCAGAGCCAAATTTTCTTTGCTCTGATATTTTTCTGAAGCTAATACTCCTACATTTTTTCTAATATCTGCACAAGTGATGGAGATAAATTGACTCAAGAGGTGTAAATAAATAAAAGTATTCTGTGTGCTTAAAACAGTGGGTTTTTATGCAGTTGGGTGCAGTCATCACATTTCACTCAGTTGAGTATCTTGCTTCTTTCACGGAAAGAATGTCAAGAAACATTTCAAATATAGCTAAAGATAGTAAAATATGGGAAAATAAGTTATTCATGTATGAAACAAAAGATACTTCTGAGGATATTAGCATACTTCCATATGCATTTATTATCATCATCAAATAGTATAGGAGACAATTCAGAAAGAAAAGTACAATACAGAAAAACTGTTCTTTGCATCACAGCTCACAGAAAAGGATAATGAGAGTACAATCCTTCCAAATAAGTGACAAATATGGGTTTTGTCAAAGAGGAGTGGTTCAGCAAAAGGACACTGAATAAATTTAGCTAGACCTCAGATATAAGCTGGAAACAGAAAAATGTCAGTCTCTCTCTGAAATAATGTGAGATAAATGTGTCATGAAGACTTAGTTCTATTTCAGGTGTTGCTAAAAATAAAACTCTAATGCTGACACTGTGAGTGAATACAGTAGGCTCAAAAATAAACATTACACAAAGGATAATCATACTTATCTGTTCTGCTACACTTTCTTTGGCATAACCACAGAAATGTGAATAAATAAAAAAAATGAAAAATAAATACCCTCAAAACTCGGGAAAAAATGTCCTGTCAACAAATGGTATAGAGACTCGTACATATCTGAGTGATCTTCACAGCATGTGCCTGATGTTGGTATGAACATGACACTGTGCAGATGATCAGGACTGTTTTGTAGACAGAGTAATGTTCTAGCTGTAGAACTTGGGCTTATTAAAGAACAACTGGGAATTTCTCTATATATGTTTTTCTTGAATATGAAAACCTGAGGTCATCACTGAAGAGTCCAAAGATGTAGTTTTATTTGCTTTTTCCTTGACCACAATGCCATTTTAGGAGTCCCTTTCACCCTATTTCTTTGTTGCTGGTAATTCAACTGCTTGTTGAGCCACAGGTGAACCAGGTTGTGAACTGATTTGAAATTAGAATAACCCTTTTTTCTTTAGATTTGAAGCACTGGTAAAGGCTTAAGGAAGCCCATCTCTCTAAGACCTTTGGACAGCACCTGCAAGCGTACTTCAGGCTGCTGCATTTTTCTGGCAATTTCTTGATAGAAAGGAAATTTCTTTATTTGTTTTGTAAATGAGGAAGTGAAGTACACAGACTTGATTGACCTAGGGTCATAAACTGAATCTGTGGCAGACCAGAGAACTGATCAAAGCTCTCCATCACCTCACCACAGTACTGTAATAACTGTACTCTCAAAAGTAGTTTGTTATGTATATGAACTCACACATAAACTGGATATAAACAACTCTATGCTGAGAGTTTTGATACATTTAGTGACTAGATAAGGGTCAATATTTCTTACAGCAGCAGAAATAGCTTAGATAGCTCTTCTCTGGGTCTTTGTTGCTTAACCCACACTGTCATCTCAGATGAGCTTGCTCCACTGTTTGTGGTAAAGGATGTTAAGCTAGGTTAAAAAAAAAAGTGCTGGGAGGAGCATTAGTTTTAATGATGATCACATATTCAATACTACTCACTACAAGGCTCCACAAGGAGTGGCACTAGCACAGCCAAGGATGCAGGATGGAATCAGGACAGAGCCATGGAGGATGGGGAAGGACAGGAAATGCTTAAGCCAACAATGCTGTTGAAAGAAATGCTGCTGAACCAAGTTTCAACCTTCCTCTTGGAAAGGAGGAAATTTTCCAGAAATCCAGGAGTACTCTGACAGTTTTCTTGTCTCTCGAAAAATTCCTCTTTATTTCCAAAGGTGTAAAAATTGGATGTGGATTTCTAGGGCTGACTGGAAAGGTGCATGTAAAGGTGGTACATGTGGTGCTTAAACTCAATGAAAAGTGATTGGACTTGGAAAGCTATGACCCAGTCCTTCAATCCACATTGACGGTTCTTAAGAAGAGTACCGAATTATTATCATTTCCTGTTGGAGATCTCACCTTTTGGTAAGGAAAAAACACATAAGAAATTCATTCAGGTTGTGAGTAGATAGCCTGAATAGTCTTTTAACTTAAGCAAGCTATCAACTTCTGCTTCAATTTTGTCTTGATTTTACACTAGTTATATGAATATTCAGGCCTCCTTCTATCAAGTTCAGTGCAAACAAAATTCACCCTACTCTTGAATCCAAACTACTGAAGCAGATTAGCAATCATTTCCAATTCATGATTTAAAAATATGCCATTCTGTCTTTAAAATCATAACACTTCTGCAGGTACTAGCTTCAGGAAGCAGTCTCAGGGTTAGGTTGTAATCAACCAGCTGTCGCACAGAAGAAAGCAGTGGACATCTTTTTTTAAATCAGTAGTGCTTTGTAAGTCAACCAAGAGTCGGAGCACTTAAGCACAGGAGAGAGAACTTGCCTTGCTCATAGTTGTAGAACTTATATTCCATTGTAGACTGGGCATTAGTTAAACAGGGGATCTAAACAAAGGACACCATGGTGACTGTCTGTTATTAGCTTCCACTAAATCACAGTGCTTGAATTTATTAAAGACTTGATTAAATCCCAGTCACATCTGGAACAATGGTAGATAATCCTCATTGCTCAACAGAAATAAAATTGTTGCCATCTTCAAGTAAGTACAAAACTACAAGACTCAAACAATATGCAGTTGGATTTCCTAAGCAGGTAGCTAAAAATTATTAAATGAGCCTGCACAGATTTGCGTTACTTGAGCACTTATACAGTCTTTCTGCAGAGTGGACATGGGATATTCTTTCTGTGTTTGCAGAAATGAATGGGACAGCCATTGAAAATTTTGTCTGTGTCATTTTTAATGTGTCCTTCATGAACTGCACGTGGCATGTGGGCAGGACTGCTACAAGAGATACCCAGTATTTTCTGTACTGGAGGCCCTCAGAGTAAGTAGGTCTGTTTGAATATAGGGAATTTTCTTTCTGGTCTAATACGTTACATTGTCAATATTTAGCTGATACGATATTTCATGTAAAGGAAAGAAGATGTCACAGGGTGCCAGAATTACATCAAAGATAATTGGGGAAGGAACACAGGATGTCGATTCCAAAATGTGACAATAGCATATAAGTATGCTTATTTCCTGGTAAATGGATCTAGAAGTGGACAAAACATTCAGTCATATGAGAAGAAGATTATGCTATACAAAATTGGTAAGGATTTTTTATTATTATTATTTTATTTCTAGTTTTATGCTAAAAGAATGAAGAATTCATGCCTGGGAAAAAGCATATATTTTTAAAATACTGCTTCTCATAACAGGTGTTTTTTTTCCTTTTCTCCAGCCCTGATGTCTGAAAAGTCTAAAGTATAAAAATGAACAAAAACTAAGGAGTATAGAGACAATCATGGGTTGGAGAATCATGAGCATTTCAGTCAAATATTTATTCTGTGAAAGAAAGGCATCATCTTTTGGGATTAACTAGTTAAGGATGCCTGAGTGGGACTATCTAGATGTTGGTCTTATTATCTCATAATTCTGTGCATCTACAAATAAAAAAGAACCAATTACCTTAACAATGTGAGCAAAAGCCTTCATTTTTTTTAAATGGAAGAATGTTGTTGATAAAAAAATATTATTTCTATTTTATATGAACACAGTATTAAAAAAGACTAAGAAAAACAAACACATACAGATTATATGTTGAATTCAGTAAAATCTAATAAATGGTTTGTGTTTTTTAATTTTACTTACTGTTGTTGCTGATGCTCCAGTCTCCTCAACTGGGGTGCTAAACCAGGGAGTCATGCTTCAAAATATGGGGAGAATATAGTAATTCTGCTAAAGCTGCATTACATCTATTTAGACCAGTTGCTTGAACATCTACCTATATTTTTATAAAGGCAGAGTGAAGAGAGCTATTATTAATCAATAGTATTTCTGATTATATTATTGTAGAAAAACTCACCCCTCCATTAAATGTCACTGTGAACTGTAGAGAAACTTCTCATACATGTAATATTCAGTGGCAACCACCTCACACAAGTCATGTGAAAAGAAGCAGCTGTTTCAAATATGAAATTGTCATAGAAAACAAGGTAAGAATAATTATGACTTTTAATAGTATTTTATTATGTCTGTATTCCCACACATACCACCATACAACCAGTACTGTGTTCTCTTCGCCTACTTAACTAATCTCTCCTTTTTGATGTGTAGTGCCTCTCTTACACATGAGCTGAGGACTGCTATTACAAAGAGGGGCAGCAAACTGAAGGAATGCTTTCAGTCCACTGCACAGCTGGTGCTTAAAGCAACTGGGCAAGGAATTCCCCATACTGAGGGAGAATACCTATTCTAGCACATGTAAGAGAATGGAGTCTTAGATATCTCCACCTGGGTGCCTGTACTTTTCATTTTGTCTTTTGTGTATATCCAACCTTGCCTTCTTCTCCTATTGCCTCCATTTACTGACACCAGCCTGTGTTGCTGAAGGAGTTTAGGAGTTTATGTTTCTCTAGAGTAAGCCTGCAGCATACATAATCAAGATGGTTGCACCACAGCTGTCACAATCAGATGTAAGGCAGTCACAGAGCATCTGTTCATTGTGGGGTTTTATTAAGTTCTGAGTTCTTTGGTTTTTAACTTAAAGTGGCTTTCCAGGTCTCAGCTGTATACAGATGTCATTATAAATTTCAGTATCTGCAAGTATTTTGAAGTATTACATCCTTAAAAAAAAAAAAACAAACTTCAAAATATTTGTGGAAATATTTGTGAGTTTGTTGTTCCAACAGTAAAAAAATAAAAAATTTTAAAAAATTTTTTAAAAAAGGAGACATAATATAGCTAAACTAAATGTTTAAGAGTATAAAAGCCACACAGGCAAAAAAACTAATGGTAATAATGTTGTCTGAGTTTACTAGTAAGTTTAAGATACTTTGTTTTGTACAAGTAAAACATAAAATTTTAATTGGTTCTAAACCTGAGCCTTTTTTGTTTAGCGCTTTGGTACTCAATTCTGTGATCAAATTTAAGAGGTACAATATTTCAAAGCAACTGTGGTGAGGAAAAATCATTTAGTGGAAGAATAGCTTAACTTTGCAGTCTTTAAAAGAAGGCATTTAAGATATTAGATACAAGGTTTTTTCATGAAAATCAAACATTCATGAGAGTGGGCTCGTTATTATACGGTAGCAAAATAAATAATCTTAAAAATTAGACTTTTCTCTTGTTGCCAGGCTGATCCTGAGAAAAACTTCAACACCACATCTAAAACAGTAAGTCTATATTAATCTAACATTTATTCTTTATTGAAATTTCTTCTATATTACAGAATCCTCCAAGCAAATTGGTTTGGTTTCACATTATCAGTTTCAATGTACTACATATGTTCTTTATTGATAAGTTTTCTAAATCCAAAATTTTAAACTATTGTTTATAAAACATAGTACAAAAACACCTGCAAATGCGGAACTTGATATTACTTCACAAAATCTTCTATTTTACATTCTTTTGTACTTCCTAGAATATTCAGATATATATGTATAAATATGGATCGTGATTCTGTGTAACAGATACACAAAATGTGGCGAATTTCTTCTTTATTAATGGTGTCTGGAAGGGATTGAGATGGAAGAGGCAAAAAAATATCACCTGAAAGATTAAGCCAGTATATAGATGGACTTAAAAAAAATCAGGTTTTCACATCTGTATAATCTGGATGTCAAACTCTACTTCAGTTTCAAAAACATCCACAGTAAGGGAATGTCAGATCTCTAAAAAATTTTTCCCCTAAAGTCCTATTGTTTAGCATAGCCTAGGGATCCAGGGAAGCACATAGCAAATTTCATCTTCATATTATCAATAACAAAAATGTTTAAACAAAAGGAATTAGGATGAAACAATCTAACTTATTAAGGGATATTTTCCTATTTGTTATTTCACTCTAGTCTGTCCACAGAGACATAAGTGAAATTTTCTCATAATAATATAAAACTAATAAAAAATTCTCAGTCTGGTTGTTTTGCATTGTAGCACTCCTACCTATATGAGAATTTCCGCGCAGAAAAAAGGTACAGCGTCAAAATCAGAGCAGCTGACACAGGCATTTGTTTAGTGAGCCCAGGTTGGGGAGAGTGGAGTACACCTGTGGAGTTTGGTAAGAATGAAAATCACTTCCTTGACCAAGTTCATTTAATCCTTGTCTGCCTCATTTATTACTTAATCCTTACAGATGGAAGCCCACTGATAATTGCCCATTAATTTGCTAGGACAAAGAGAGGTGGAGAACTGGCATGTCTCTTAATATGAGGGAGTTTTCCAAGCATTCTGGTGTGACGGTGCTTCTTGCAAGGGGTTAGTGAATAAAGCAGACCTTTTTGAGGTCTGTTGTCACTTCTTCCATCTCTTGGGTTTTTCAATACTCTGTGGGGCTCAGCTCCTCAGGTCTCATGTTACTGCAGATAGTCCACATGCTGTTAACCATCCTATTCCTTCACATACTACAGAGCAACGAGGTGCTAAAGTCATCACTTCATACAGTGCTTGACTCCTGCAAAGCAGATTGTAAATAGCTGTGCAATCATTCCTGTCCTGTGATGCTAACCAACACTTTGATGATTGTTTGACTTTCAGGAAAACAACAATTTACATCTACTTCATCATATACTTTATTTCTGATACCGGGGCTGGCAGCAAGTCTTGCACTTTTTCTCTGCACAGTGTAAGCCTCATTTCTTGCACAAAATTTTTATTCTGAAGTTAAAATAACACCTTTTCCCCCAGTGGAAAACTTCTGGCTTCTTTTTAAAGGAAATGAGGGAGGGGGGGAAATCAACACTGAACTACACTAGGAATCATGACCTGTTGGATGTTCCTCAAGTGGGTTTTATATTTCTGATTCCCAACATTCTTATTGACTTGTTTAATATGAGACAATGCTTTCCAATACTACGACAAAGCTTTACCTTGGTGTCGCTTTCCTGACATCAGACCCTGCAATGTAGATGTGTGGTCCATGAAATTGTTTTCATGTTTTGGTGATATAACCCTTCCATATACTTAAAAACCCAACTTCTTATGAGGCTTTAGTAAGTCATAAAATAAATTATTGTCATCCATATTCCGAACAATGAAATTATAACATTGTATTCAGCCTACATAACGTTTAGCTACTTTTGACTTAGAGGAATACTAATTTTGTCTTAGAGGAATACTACTTTTGTCTTAGAGGAATAAAATAATACCTCGGGAGCATTATTATAGAGTATGTGTTCATATGTTTGCACACTAAGTCTTTTCTTCACCAACACTTTATGTCACTGTAGAAGGGTTTATTTGAAAAAAACATCTGCTACGGTACCACAGCCAAGAGACCCATTCCATGAGGCCTGTCCAGTGGATTTCCAGGTACGTTTTCTTTCCATCTGTCTGAAACTTAAAAATTGAGGTCAAGTTCAGTCTTGAAGGTATGACCTAAGTGTCAGAAAGATGCACACAAGCAAGAATCATTTTTCTTTCTTCTTCTTGTTCCTGTGGTATGGAAAGAGAAGGTCCATATGCAAATAAATATTCTGTTTTACCTTTTCCATTATGAAAAAATTGTCATTCGTCTACATGGAGCATTGGAGAAAATACAGTTTCACCCTGCCCTCCCTATAAACCATAAGCTATCACTTGAATAGTGCTGACCCTAAGCTTCTCAGTGCAATAATAATGCAGAATCAGACAGGGAAAGAAGGGACAAAGAATTCTACAATCATTTTGCTGTAGAAGGTGTTGAACCCCATGTTAGTATTTGGTAATAATGCTAGAGGAGAAAAAGTTTCTACGGTAAGGTAAGCAAGAAAGTAGAACAGAGAGTTCAGAGGTGCTTACTTAGGTGGAAAGCTGGAAGGACTAGTGAGAAGGAACAAATACATAAACATTGCAGGAACTGCCCATCTAGACAGCATGTTCCAGTTTGTTTTAAGTTGGCTACAGGCAGGTCTGGAAGCTCAAATTTGTCCACAGGGACACACTGAAGTACTGGTGAGCCTTTATAAATCGTTTTAAGTCCTTTTCCTTCATCGTGTTAACTCTTCTATGTTTTAAAACAGGAGTTTTCTGTCTTTTGCGTTTGTAGTGGGTTGACACTGGCTGGACGCCAGGTACCTACCAAAGCCCCTCTCTCACTTCCCTCTGTAACTGGACAGAGGAGAGAAAATGTAATATAGGGTTCATGAGTTCAGAGAAGGACCAGGAGAGATCACTCACTGATTACCATCATGGGCAAAACAGACCCAAAGAGGGGATATTAATTAAATTTATTACTAACAGAATCAGAGCTGGAGAATGAGAAGTAAAATAAATCTTAAAAAGTCCTTTCCCCTGCCCCTACCTCCTTCCCAATTTCAACCTCATCCCCCCACAGTGGTGCAGAGAGATGGGTAATGGGGGTTATGGTCAGTTCATCACAGGGTGTTCCTGCCGCTGCTCAGGGAGAGGAGTCATTCCCCTGCTCCAGCGTGGGGTCCCTCCCACAGGAGACAGTCATTCACTAATTTCTCCAACTCAAGTCCATCCCAGGAGCAACAGTTCTTCACAAACAGCTGCAACGTGGGTCACTTTTCCACAGGGTACAGTCCTTCAGGCACAGGTTGCTCCAGTGTGGGTCCCCCACAGAGCCACAAGTCCTGCCAGGAAAACCTGCTCCAGCGTGGGTTCCTCTCCCCACAGGTCAGCAGGTCCCTACCAGAACCCTGCTCCAGCTAGGGCCTCCCACGGGGTTACAGCCTCCTTCGGGCATCCACCTGCCATGGTGTGGGTCTCCTCCATGGGCTGCAGGTGGATCTCTGCACCCCTGTGGTCCTCCATGGGCTGCAGGGGCACAGCTGCTCCACCATGGTCTGCACCACGGGCTGCAGGGGACCCTCAGCTCCGGTACCTGGAGCACCTCCTACCCATCCTTCTCTACTGACCTTGGTGTCTGCATTGTTGTTCACGTGTTCTCATTCTGCTCTTCTTTTGCTGAAATTTCATTTTTGCAATAACTTTTTCCCCTTCTTAAAAATGTTACCACAGAGGTGTTACTATCATTCCAGATTGTCTTGGCCTTGGGCAGCAGTGGGTCCATTCGGGAGCCAGCTGGCATTGGCTCTACTGCACATGGGGGGAGCTTCTAGCAGCTTCTCACAGAAGCCACCCCTGTAGACTCCCTGCCACCAAAACCTGGCCACAAAAAATACAAAACCAATACAGAGTTGAAAAGTCTTTTGTTCCTCTTTGATGAGCTCAACACGGAGAGAAGATCTAGACGTGTCTATTTCGGTGTTCTCGTTGACAGAGTCCTACTACAGCTTTTATATAATAACAACTCTTTGAATGACAGGAGATTCATAAATCATGACTTTGGGGCTAATCTCATGCCTGAAACACTAATGAAATGTTTTATTCTTCCTTTAATAGGCAGAATATGAGAATCTGTTAATAAACCATGAAACTGAAGAAATAATAGAGATTGAAGAAGTGATGTAATGGAATGCAAGTGAAACGAGCTACTTGATATTTTTCAAGCACATATATCTTGTTGGCAGAAGTTAACAGGCTTTTCATATTCTCTTACTCTTGCAAGCAGTGAGAATAGCATTGCCTGTAGAGACAATTCCCCAAGAGCCTATCTTTAAAAGCCTCTTTGTATTTGATTGCATTTTCCATAAACATTTTGGGGTTTTGGACTACTGTTTCTTCTAATGATAAATACTGCAGTGTTTCAGCAAAAATATTTCAGTACTGCCTTGGAAGTTATTATAATATTTTCCAACACCATTCAAAAGAAGAACAACGAAACTTAAGGGGTTTATTCAGGATCTCCAGGGGTTCAGTGTCTTGAAAAAGGTACAGCTGTATTGATACTGTGATCAGGAATAAAAATTTGTCAGCTGTATGAAAACTTACTGAAAACTAGCCAAGATTAAACCTCTTAAGAAAGATCATTTGCTCGTACAAAATGGTATTATTAAAGAGCTCATGATACAGTTTTCTAAGTCCACTTGTTGCCTTTAATCTGTGTTGCTACGTCCCTTAGCACAGCATGTTGCTCACTGACATTTATAAAACCAAAAATTTCCTTCCATTCTTAATCCCTTCATATCTGTGTTAGATGAAAAAATTACTTAATATGTGATTTCTAACAGGTAGCAGATAATTATGTGTATATGTGTGGAGTGGGAAATGTTGGAAATGGAACTTTCAGACTCTCCAGCAGAAGCCTGCTACTTGCTAGCTGCAAATAGTACAGGCTAGTTGGGTGGGTTTATAACACCTGGATAAAATAGAAGCATCACATCCTGAATCCTCCAATTAATAAGGAGATGTGAGAAAAATCCATCAATTTTGACCTTCCATTTGAATAAAGTTGAATACGAGTCAGCAGTGCTCTGGTAGCCAGGAGGGCCAACTGTGTCCTGGGGGGCATCAGGCAAAGCATCACCAGCCAGTCGAGGGAGGGGATTGTCCCGCTCTGCTTTGCACTGGTGCGGCCTCACCTTGGTGTAGCTTGTGGCACCACAATAGTAAAAAGACATAAAGCACACAATGAAGGTCTATTGAGATGCAGAAGGGCTTAGAGGGGAAGCCATACTGGGAGCAGCTGAGGTCACTTGGTCTGTTCAGCCTGGAGAAGGGGGGGGAGACCTCATTGCAGTTATGACTTCCTCGTGAGGGGAGATAGACAGGCACTGACCTCTTCTCTGTGGTGACGGAACTGCATGAAGCTGTGTCAGGGGAGGTTTAGGTTAGATTTTAGGAAAAGGTTCTTCACCCAGAGGGAGGTTGGGCACTGGAACAGGCTCCCGAGGGAAGTGGTCACAGCACCAAGTCTGCCAGAGATCAAGAAGCTGGACAATACCCTCAGGCACATGGCGTGATTCCAGGGGCTGTCCTCTTCAGGATCAAGAACTGGACTTGATGATCCTTGTGGGTCCCTTTCAACTCAGGATATTCTCTGATTCTCAATTCCATCAAGTCTCAGGATGCTTAAAGTCATCTCAAGTAGCTGAAATACTCTCACGGTAAATAAAGTCCTCTCAGGGTGATAAAATTCCACTAGACAAGATTACCTTCAAGGGATCATCTTTGAAACTAAATTTTTCTATGGTTCTGTGTTTCTAAATAAGTTTT